TGATAAATATATAAAATATTATAAATATAAAATAAAATATTAAAGATTATAAGCTATGGAGGAAAAATTTTAAATAATAGAATTTAAGAAAAGAAAATTTTAGAATTAAGTGAAAAGGAAAATTTTCTGTTTTGGAATTTTGAACATACAAAAATATTTTTTGTCAACTTTTTCCCGGAAATTAAATTAAAGAAGATATAAAAGGTAAACTTTTTAACGAAACAAGAGATTATTACATCAGTTTTATGTTATTTAATTATTTGTTGAGCAAATAATTAACAGAAGAAAAAGAAAAGCTTTTGTCACACAAGATTTTCCATTATTTTCTGTCCTTTATCCGCTTCACGTTCACCACACGATTCAACTCAGACTCTGAGTCAAATCAAATTCATTAAACATCTTATTTCTGTCAAAAATAATTTTTCCGCTGCGACGATGAAATTAAGAGGAAAAAATGAAGTGTCTTTGTATATTATTAATGAAGATCTTAGAGAACAAGAAAACATAAAAAGAATTATTCATTTAAAAACATTTTTAGGCGGTAAGAGACAGAAAAAAAACTTTATTCAAATTTTAACGTAACAGAAATAATAAAAAGAAAAATTGAAGAAAAACGATAGAAAAAAACTGAGTTGATTTTTATTCTTTTTTTGTTTCTTTCCAGCATGTCTTAAAAAATACTCAAGAGCGAGTTTAAATTTGATTTCTAATTTTGTTTTGAGATGAAGGTTTGGCCGTTTCTTTTTTTGGACAATTAAATTAGTTTCGGCTTCTTTTTCGTCATTTCAAAAATTGTTTTATGGCAAAGTGAGCATCTCGTGCTGTTGTTCATAACACGCGAGGACAATTATCGGCATTGTTTTGGTTTTGTAAGTATTTTAGGATTGTGCCTGACCCAGAAGTTGAAATTGAATCATCTTAAGAGTCGACAATTGGTTGAGATGGTTCTGGGAGTTTGTGTTGTTATCATTACAATGCTTGCTTGCTTCATGTTTATTCATCAGGCACGCGAGAAAATTCTCTGCAATTAAAAAAGAGTTCAAGGAAATACAAGATGAAGCTTTCATTCAATAAAGCTTCATGTGAATGAAACTCTCAACTCAACTCGTTTATTAAATTAAACATAGTCACTCGCTATAGTAATGACTATGCCTTTTACACACGTTTCCGAATTTCCAGTCTTCAGTCACCAAACGAACGAGAGGAAACAACAAAAAAAGAATTTAAAAAATTATTTCATGTGCGATCACGTATGAATCATTAACGCAGCAACAAGCTGGCAAGCTGGCTAGTTATATAACATTAAACTGCCATGTAGAAAATTTATGAATAATTTTCAACGAAGGCTTTGTGTGATGGTGGCGTATGAAGTTCTCGTTGTTGACTCAACTCACCCGGTTCTTAAATGTGGAGAAGAAGTTTCAAAGTTCACTGAATTGGAAACACAAAGAAATAAACATAAAATGAATCTTTGTTTGGTATAAAGGTAAGCCAATCCTCTCAGAAGTGTCTGAAACAGTAAATTAAGTTGAATTAAAAACTCAGAAATTGACTTTAAATGAATTCTTTTTTCACTCTTCTTTTATTTTTATTGTCTAAATATCAGCGACAAAAATTATAAAATAAGAACAGTATGGACGATTAAATTAAATAATTAAAAAATATTTATGAGAATGAAAAGAATAAAACGAAACATGAAATCATTCAAATCAACATTCGACACATTTTGAAGTTGAAAGCATTCGAGTTTAAATGTGTAATTAAAATCATATTTAAAGTAATGCACGATGGTAGACGAGACGACGAGCCTTGACTTAAACAATTTAAATTAATTACAATTCAAGGCTTTAATTTTCAGACACACATTACGTCGATCGATGAAGCCATAAAAATCGCGACTTTGTACACTCAAATCGATGTTTTTATGTTTTAATTTTGTAAACAGCGAAAAACAATTTTCATTCATAAGTGAAAAGCTTATGTAAAAGTTTTCTAAAAATCAGTCTCGAAATATTATTCAAAGTATTATTATTGTGATGATGATCATCAACATCATGTTCGCCGCTTAAATATTTAAGATCCAAAACGATGGTTATGTATGTAATGAATGATTTTCATTGATGCGAGAAGATTTCCGCATATTTTCCAAATAAAAAATCGTCTGGTCAGTTGAAAAGTCAGAGAGTTGAAAGCACACAAACGATGCCGTTAAGTCATGATACATGTTGAGAAGTTTACTCATCGTTCTGGTTTGCTTTTGAGAATGTCAAAAGTTTGACCTTTTTAAAGAATCCAATGGAAAATTAAGTTCGAGATTTATGAAAGTAAGAAATCCAACATCGTGTGAATTATTCATCAAAAAATGTAGAGAAGTAAATGTTAAAGTAAATATCTAAGTAGATTCCAGAAGACTTCATGTTTGTGCATGTTTCGTTTTGTTTTAAAAACTTCTATTCACTAAAGTTAAGCAATGTGTTGTTAGCTGAATCATTTATCAGGTTGTTGCACTTTGCGATATTTTTATATTGTTGTGCTTTACTTAATGTCGGACTTTTCACCATCAATTCGTCATCACTTGTATTGTTGTTATCGCTTGACTTTGACACAATGGACGGTGATTTCGAGTAGGGAATGTTTTGTGTGATGCAGTAACGAGGCGGTGGTCCATTAATTTGACTTGATTCCAACAGCACATGATACCACGTCAATGGATTGAATTGTTCACCTTCACCACCTAATTCTGGTGGAAGAATATCGCGTGCAATCATCTCATGAAGTGTCGATAAATTTGAGCCATGAAGTTTAATTCGCGATCGTGTTTTTGAATTCAAAAACGGTTTGATCACTGACAATGCAGCTTCAACAAACCAAGGTTGACCTATGAAGTGAATGCCTTTAAAACGAACTGGAAATGAATCCTGTGAAGTGAAGTGGAAAAAAATTATTTAATTGAAGATTTTTGAATTGATCTTTAATATGCACAAACCTGCAAACCTTCAATCATGAGCTTCAAAATTTTTGGATTAAGATGTGCACTTTGTCTAAGAGTAAAGTTTGTCCAATCGACAATCACAACGAAGCCATTCGCTTGGTTTTGTTTATTTTCTAAAAGCTTTTCTAACGTCAACAGCATTGCTCGATAAACTGTGAGTAACGAGTATTGCGTGTAATCCCAATTAGCAGCAAAGAACACCAACACTTTCCGCCCACGACGATCGCGACTTTTAAGAACACCAGGAAAGCCATCGCGAAGTGCCATCTGAATTGTGTCATCTAAAACACAAAGGCGTTGCAGCAATTCATGATTTTTTTGCCGATAATTCTGGTAGTTGATCAATAGTTGAAATGCTTCAGTGACACTGAACTTTCTAGCGAATAAAAAGCGGTAAAGGAATTCATCATCAGCGTAACAAGATTTGTCCTTCAATGCCAAATCGCGACTGGCACCAATGAGATCTTTGATAATGCATAAAGCACGAAAACGTTCGTTCGCGTCATGTTTGTTGAAAGTCATTTTATCGCCATCTAATGTTCCAGATCCAATAGTCGTTTTAATGTGATATCCACTGGACTTCTGGTAATGACTGTTATCATATTCATCATATAATTTCGACATTTTACTCGTTCAATTCCTTTAGATCATCTCACTTCTCACTCAATTGATTGAACGATTTATTTATGGATCTGTGAAAGATAAAAGAAGTCGTATAAATGCGGTGCTAATTACAGATTAAGCGATTACAGTTAATATTCGATATTAATAACGTAATTAATGTGAGAAGAACAACAATATCATGATAAAAAGTAACTGTAATAGAATTTCGAGTAACGAAATGTTTGCCAAGCCCAACTGTTGATCTTCTTTCTTTTGGCCCGTCATTTGCTTTTACTTTATCGTGACCCATTTCGTGCTTTCCGTTCAAAGTGTGTTGTTGATGAAAGATATGTTTGACTACGACCTTCACAAACCGCTTTATTTGCTTTTTCAATTATTTTTGGACATTTTTTAGATATTTCGATGTTGCACTTTTTATTTTGTCGTCGTCGTCGTTGTCATTGTCGTAATCGATACGACAGGAAATGAGAACAGAATAGAAATTTCATGACACATCGATTATAAAAATAAAAATCTGGTTCATTAAACAGACGAAAGAAATGCAATATCGTTGAAGCTATTTGGAACACTCCTTTCTAAGAACGTTTCTTACATTTGTCTTTTGAAATCAAATAATCTATTATTCATTATTTGCTTGATGATCTTTACAATCGGCACGGTTAAAGTTTTCATGATGAATCAAGGAACAAAAGAAGGTGAATGCGCCTCCACATGGAACAGTGAACTGGATGAAGAAGTTGATGCAAAGAGAGAAGTAGAAGAAGAAACAAAACAATGAATCTGTGAGTCAGACAAAGAGAAAAACTTTCACCGCATGATTAAGCATCACTTGGAAAGATTTTTCTGTTCTTGATAGAAGTCACACACAAAATAAGTCATCATTTGATTAAAAGCATGTTTTAGTGTAATTGTCAGCATCAACCGGCGCCGACTTTCCAATTACAAAAATTGATTCAGCTCAAGGCTTCATATTAGCGCATTCTCAATCATAATTTAATGTAACGTGATTGCAGTTTGTAAGTATGAAGAAGTTGTTCATATGTTAGATGTAAGGTACTTAAGTGGCAATAAATTGATATTATTTTATCATTCATATTATGCTGCAATTTGCAACAAACGATCAACTTTGATAATTAACAGTTTAACTAAGACAAGGAAAAAAAATCTTAGCGAAATATTTAATTGCAAGGTTTTGCGGTCGTGTCAGCAAACCAAAAAAAAAAATTAACTCGCTCGAATGGCTTTTTCCACATTTGATTATTCATTTCAGAACGTATTTTGATGCTGAGAGATCATGCACGTTGTTGGTGTAATGAAAGGAAGGTCGACTGGTTTTTCTTTTTATTAAAATATTCTCTGTAGTGACTAAAACATTTTTACTAAGACAGACATTTAATATCTACTTGTAAGCATCGTCTGTTTTCAACTTGATCAACGTTACTTCGAGTGAACCTGATTTGAGTGGTTAATTAGTTTCGCTTTGAATTTCTTTACGATACGCGAAAATGTGGAAAATTAAGACGAACGTTGCGTCATCTCGATAAATCGCTAAACAAATTTTTGAAGAAATAAACTTTTACACAACTTTTCTACTGAATCAAATCTGAATTAAAAATCGATTAACTTTTTTTTCGATTCCAATACTTTGACAAGGGTAAAGTGAGATAATTTTTCTTTATTTATATTCGTGAATCTTCTTTTTGTTTTTAAGAATTCATTTTTGGTTGACTTTCTTGAGACAGGGAAGGTGATTGGGAAAATGTTTCTAATTTGATTAGCAGAGGAAGTTAGCAAATATTATTTAATTATTTATTGAGATGTTTCAGGGAAAATGTAACATTAAGTGCAGTTTTATTAAAAATGTCCGCAAAGTTTTAATTTTTGTCACTCGAATCGAGTGAAAAGTCGAAGGTTCAACACACAAATTAAACACACATAATGACGATAAACAATCAACGTGATTTACTTATTTCATAACACGCAAAAGGATGTTTCACAACACCATCATGTAAGCCGGCTGAAACTGTTATGTACTGTAATTAATGTTAACAAAATCACCCGCACTCACATATTAAGTTGTCAAATTCTCAAGTTTCACAAGTTTTCCCTCAATTGATGAAATAACAAAAATAAATAAAAAATACAAACAAATATTTGAGTGAAAAAAACAACAAAAATTAAATAAAATTGCCGATTGAAATTGTCTGATGATGAAAAAATTTATCGGAAACGTTAACGAAGTTTTCGAGGAAAAAAATCGTGAGAATCTTTTCATTGCAAATTGCAATTTTTATCGAAATTGATAATTAAAGTCGCAGTAAAGGTTGAAGTGAAAAAGCAAATGAATGTTTGCTCGATAGAATTTGCATTTCATTGATTTCTTTTTTCTTACAAGGTCTTCGTAAATATCATTGAAATCCCTCAACTGCCTTGCATTGCGTGAATCAATATGTGAAAATAGTTTGCAACTTTCATAATCAACAATGACTAAGATAACAACTCGCTACAATTTTCACTAAATGTGAACTTCAGTTACTCTCATTTTTTTTGTTAGGTAAACGTTCAAACTTCAATTCGGAGTATTCCAAATAAAAACGTCATCGTAAATAGTCACAAAAAATTATTTCGACGAAATAATAAAAACGAGTAGAAATCTTTTGATGTTGAACTTTTTTACAGTTGGTAATTTATCGTTGGTTGGCTGTTGGTCATTGAGGTTGTTATTAGTTGCTACAGCTATTTTAAGAGATTATTAAAGCTTAATCTCAACACAGCTTATGGAAAATAAAACAATTTGTAATTCAGGTTTATTAGGTGCTTAAGTAAAGTTCATTTGTAATGCGGAAAATCTCATGTTCATTTCCATATTCATTGCACTGCATCTTAATCGTATTTTTTCCATTTATTCTTTCACCAATTAAAATTTCACATGTCAAAGTTCCATAAAAGTGACCGCAAAATTTCAGGAATTTCTCTAGCAATTTTTTATCGCTCGCCAAGCGGCTTGCAATGGCGTCACGCGGCAGATAGAAAAATTATCATTTTTATATATTTTTTGTTGCAAATTCACCTTTTTTCTCGACACCTGTTTACGACCCGATGTGTAATGCTTTTCAGTTCTTTACTAACTACTTGTAATGTTCACCTTGAGCTATCGATTATGTGCCGAAAGAATCAAATTAATTATTCATCGAGCAAAGTTTGTCATCAGATATGAGTGAATGTGTTTAATGAAAACACTTTGAATCGCTGCACTTTATTATGTTTTATTATTTTTCAATATCTCTTCTTGTTCTTCACTATGTATTAAGCAACCGCGGTATGTTTTCCAAACCGACTCGATGGCACAACGTTCAAACGTAAACTGAACGAGCACACGAATGAAAATATTCAATTCAAATGCCTACGATACAAGTTCTCAACACTAAAACAAGTTTCTGCGTGTTGTTGTTGTTAGTTGGATACCATAACGATAAATATTATTGAGTGTGTTGACTACTTACTTATACACGCCACTGTATGGATTATGGTTTGTGATCATCGGCAAAAACGTGTAATTTAGAACCTTTTTTGGACTGAAGCTTCCTCTGTTGAGGAAATTGACTTTCAGTCGACGGATGTTTCACTAAATTTATGATTCTTTGCATAATTTATCTAGTGATCGTTAAAAACAACTGAAAAAGGGGTTTATGATCTTGTCGAATGTCAATCAGTTGCTTTACTATGGAAATTGTACGAAGTTAAGATAATTAACTTTGTTTTGACATGACAGTCATCAAGCAAATACAGCGTTAATAACAGCGAATCAAGTTTCGTTTTATTTTTGCTTCTGTCGTTGATGATTTAGCGCAAAGATCAATTAAGTATGATCAGGTCACAAACGTTGAGAAACTCGAGCAACTTAATAGTCACAGCGTAAGAAAATTACAATCTTTCATCATTTTATATTTTCAATCTTATCATTTTTATGTTCTTTGTCAATCACCCATTGAAATTCAACAACGTTGTTTATGAAATTTATCATCGATAATGAAAGGAAAATGTTTCAAAGAAATGTTCTTCTTTATTTCGGGCATTGTCGCGATGTTGGCCATGAATTCTTAAAAAAAAATATCCAAACCAGTTTATCAGAAAAAGAGTTAAAAAGAAGCACCTGAAATGTTTTTCACTTCAAGTTATTCTTTTATTACTTTTTTTTTCTCTCTTCTTCATCAATCAATTATCTTCTGAAATGGATCTTAAATTCTTTTCTCCTTTCACACAATTACCTATGTACGAGATGTGCAAGTAAATGTTCTAAGAATCGAGAAAAACGGTTGTTGGTTATGTTATTGAACCAGTTCCCTTCAATAAATAGCTGCTGCTGCTGCTATAACTTAAGCTGTAAACAGTTTATTCTCATTCTAAAAGTAGGAGAACGGGAATTGGCATGTCGAACTGCAAGTAGGTAAAAACGATCAGACTGTAATTTAATAAATTTTGACCCACGCCATGTCGCAATCTTATGCAGACAGTCGGAAAGGAAGGAAGAAGGAAAGGAAAAGTTGGAAGGGTGCAATACCCTCGCTCACCTAACTTCATTCTTTCTCATTCTCCCCCACACTAAAACATATTTTAGTCAATTGATATTCCCTCCTACAACTTTCCAACTCAACCTCTGCTTACACCTGTTTTATAACTTTCAGTTCGCATAATTACTTATGTGGTTTGCATGCACGTTGTCAGCATACAAAAGGTGTCGAGTAAAACCGGAAAACAAAAAAAAAATCTCCAACATTAAATTTATTTTTTAATATTCGTGAAACATCGAATCACTTTTTCTGTCGTTTTTCATGTTAATATGTTGGAAGCTTCAAGCATAAATCATGTCAAGAAGATTCTTTAAACGTGTCATAACTTAGAGTTGGAATATTAAAGTGACGGAATTAAAGAACGATTTAGTCTGGAAATAAATCACGTGAAAGAAGATTAGACGGCAAAATGATTTAATGATGGAAGATTCATTCTTCCAGGTCTAATATCCGCTCATTTACTATTCACAAAGCACATGCAATGTCTTGTGATTGATTTCCAATAAACAACACCAAACACACGAATGCTGAAAATTTCTTAATTAAATTAAGCAAGATAATGCAAAGCATTATGGTTGTTAATTTGCATCGGATCTTGATTTATTTTCAAGTATAAATGCGAATTTTATTTCTTTTTTGATACGTTCAAATTATTTTACAACTCGCCATAAACTTGAGATATGATACAACTTCTGACACTGACTTTTGTTTTTGGATTTGTTCCTATAACAGAATCGCGCACGATCAACCCGTAATTGGAGTTTTAGTGCAAGAAGTTTCGAAGGTCTTCGAACTTTTATACCTAAATCAATACAAAACGTTTGTTCCTGCTTCTTATGTTAAATAGATTGAGTCTAGTGGAGCTCGAGTCATTCCAATGTGGATAGAAAAGCGTCATACAAGAAGCTTTTGATAATCTCCTTTACCACAACAATGGATGTTGTTCAATATTCACATTGATAAAAAAGGAAGAACCTTCATTTCATGCGTGGAACATGTTGTGATGCCATTCTTTGGAACGTTTTTCCATCCGGAACAAATTGCTTTCGAATAGTGAGTAAGAAATATTCACACAATTTGAATTTTTAATTTTTATTTATTCAAAATAAAGGAGTGATAATGCAAACACCGCACATACTCTTGCAGCATTATTATGAAGCTCGTAAAACTGATCGTGTTGCCAGCAATCAAAAAGACATCTAGGATCTTTTTATTGAAAATTATTCACCAATTTTTACAGAATGGTTCAAATTACTTCCAAGCTTATAAATTTTAACATGGAAGTTAGGATTAAAGTATTTCTTAAAATAGATAAGATAATTATCATCAGTCCAGAATAATGACGTCATCATCTGAAATAAAAAGAAATTAAAAATATAAATCAGAAAAGTTCATTGTTTCAGGATCTGAATCAGGTCAGAATTAAAAGTCACAAAACCAGGGGTTCGACACGACTTAAATTGAACTTGTTCCATTTCTCATTGTTCCAACTCGTTGGCATTCAAATGTCACCTGGTGGCAACACGCTTTGACTTCAAAGCTTTGCCCAAAATTCTGTCAGAATAACTTAGAAGGAATATTCTTGAAATCTCACCTTGTTTCTTTTTCGGCTGTTGCTGCTGTTGTTGTTGTTGCTGCTGCTGCTGTTGACTATTTTGTTGCTTTCTTTCAGCAAGTTTTTGTTGTAAAGATTTCGTTGGAGTGACAGCAGCTGATGATGATGATGGCGAATGTGCTAAAGGTGGTGTCGTATGATGAGTAAAAGGTGACTTTGATGAGGTTGGAGATGACAATGGCAATCCACTGAAACTTGAAGCGATATTCTTACCAAAATCATAAGGTTGAGCTGCTTTAGACAATAAAGACGACGATGATGATGATGATGATGACTGTTGAGTGTGAGACTTTTTCGATTGACTTTGTCCCGACAATTGCGTTGATTGTTTATGCTTTTGTGATTTCATTAAAGAATTTGAAACAGCAGAATTAATCGACGTGACTGTAATTGGAGATGATTTCGTTTTCGCTCCTTGGGTTTGCTGTTGATTTGGATAATTCTTAAGAAAATCATAGTAAGCTTGCATGTTTGAAGCTGCTGATTGATCTGAACCAACAATCATCGATTGACTTTGATTTAACCGACTTGTTGATTTCTCTTTCGATGATGATTTTCCTTTATCAGACACACGAGATGACTTCACATTACTAACCGGCATCGACGGTGTTATTGAAAGAGATTTCGGCAGGGCTGGAAGTTTTAAGTTTGTTCCAAACAAAGCATTGTAGCTGCTGTTCGCATCGTTTGATTTCGTTAAGGATGCTGAAGACATTGATGAAGATTTCTTTAAGGATGAAGTGGATTGAGACTTGTTGATTGATGATTTCGGGGATGATGTTGGAGTTTTTGTTATTGACAATGAATTGCTCATTCCGTTCTGCTGTAAGCCCATCAATGAACTTCCACTGCTGCCAATACTTTTAAGAGCTTCTAAATATTTCTTCTCATTATGATTTGTCGTTGTTGGTGTCGTCGATTTACTTGTTGAAGGAGAAGTTGAAGGCGATTGACCAGCTAATGGTGAATACAAACCCGACATCAATGCAGTCATTGGATCGTTCATCATTGCAAGTTGTTGATGTGTTGTGAGATTATTCAATGAGTTTGTTGAATTCACAGCTAACAGTGATTTGTAATATTCGTTGAGATAATTTGATGAATCAGCAGTCGACATCAAAGGTGAACTTGTGAGTTGTGCAAGAAGTGCTGGATTTGTGTAAAGTGACATTAACATTGAATTCATTGCTGCATTATTATTAAGTAAAGAATTAGCGGCTGTTGACGAAGAATTCTTAACTGATGAACTGCTTCGTGGTTTTGTTCTTGCACTTGACGATGATGAAGTTTTGGAGATGTTTTGTGGTGTTGTCGGTGGAGTTACTCGACTTGTTACTGCTACCATTGATGGTGGTAATGTTGACGAACTTCCAACAACAGATTTATTAATATCACTAACAGACTTTACAAGAATCGGTGAAGATGTTGCTGAACTATGTGAATTTTGTTGTTGTTGTTGCTGCTGCTGCTGCTGCTGTTGTTGTTGATGTTGAATGAAAATTGGTGGATTTGGATTTGTTGTGACAATTCCCTTCTCAAGATTCTTCCTGTAGTTCAATTCTTGTTGACACATTTTAAAAGCAAGATCAGTCAGATTCGCATTCTCTGGCAAAACCATTTTATCCTTCACATATTCTTTGTAGACATCAACAAGAACACCGGAAAACAAACTTTGATCTTTTTGTTGGAAGACTTTTTGTGTCTTTCGATGAGCTTTGAAAATGTCAAGCATTAATGACAACAATTCTCGATTCTTTTCGTCACCACAACCAGCCATAATCTCACGAAGCTTATTTTTAAATGCTTGAACACAACAAGTGACCGCTTGATGAAACAATTCCTTCTTGTCAGCATCATTCAAATATTTCTTATCAGCTTCAGGATTTCTTTGCAGTTGAAATGCGAGGTCGATTAATGTCTCTGCATCATTTGTCTTCTTCAAAACGTCCATTAAAACGACAACACATTTCGACAAATGAGTTGTAAAGTTTCCTGGTCGATCAATTTCTTGCGATGGAATTCGCCAAATCCCATTAAAAAAGTTATTATTCTTGCGTTCACTGAAAAGTCCACCAATTGGATTACCCAAAGTCGTTTTATAATTTGAACTCAACAACAATTGTTTGCATTTTTCGAGAGAATTTCCAGCGTTAAGAAAATGATGAACCAAACGATAAATTGACTTGTAATGTTCCGGAAAGCGACTGACGCATTCCTCCAAATTCTTTATGCACATTTTATAAATTGTGTTGATCTGTTCTTGACTCACGAAAGTATTTTCCTTGTCAGTTCCATCAGTTTCATCTGAACTTGATGAACTGCTGTCGCTACTTGAATCAGCGCTACTGTCAGACGACGACGATGTTCGTGTTGAAGTTGTTGTGGTTGTTGTTACAGCACTTTCTTGTGATCCACGTCTTGATGCGAATTCACTTTCATTATTAATGATGTTTCTAACGACCGGTTGAATTGGCGGTTCTTCAATCTCCATTTGTTGTGGTTGTTGTGGATCAACGTCGTCAGGTTTATTATTATCAACAACAGCAACATTTTCATCATTAATCGTTGAGGTTTCACTTTCAAGTTTTATTTGCTTCGTTGGAATTGATGATTCACCACCAGAAGCTGAAGTATTCAATTTATCAACACCAGAAACATTCAGCTTGTGCTTCATTGCTGTTATATTTCCTTTATTGATCTTTGCACGATTATAAGCAAAAGGTGACGATGACATTTCTTTCAAAACTCTCATAAATAACTTTGCAGTTGGCTTGTTAATCTTACTATGTTGCTCAAGATATTTCATGATACAAGCCGAGATTCGATAGAAAACTTCCAATGATTCAATTGCAAGATGTGTTGGATTGCTGTGATTAATTTTGATTGGATAAGTTGCGTTATCTTCGTATAGAAATTTCGCTGATTTCAAATAATGATTAAGATAATTTAATGGCGGTTCTTTCTTCTTCTCAGCAATCTTCCCCAACATAAAATGATAATAGTAACGTTCATCATGATTATCTTCCGAATCTTCTTGCGTTTTATTGACGTTCAACTCATGATTAACATCACTGACAGCTTCACAAACTTCCATAAAACATTTTAAAGAAATATTCAAGAATTTATCTTTTCGTTCTTCAATTGCTGAGAAGTTTTCCATTGAAAGTGTTTCGCTTGATTGCTTTAAATTTCTCGAACAAAATGAATGAAGATGATAAGTAAATGAAGCAAATTCTGTAAGAATTGTAATTGTCTTTTTAAGTTTCAAACATTGATTAAAGCAGTTGATTGTTTGATCAGCAATTTCAAGGAAATCTTTTACAGTTATCGAAGCATTCGAATTAAGTTTCATCTCAAGCTTGCTCTGTTTACATAACGACAATGAAGCCCATGAATCGAATCGATCTGGTTTCATTGTCAAATCATTAATATAAAACTTTATAGCTCGTCCCGTCTCTTGATTCTTGAAGTAATAATCAGCCAACAAATAATAAATTGAAGTAATTTTCGATGGTAAAATGTTAATTTCTTTCGGAAGATTCGTAATCGTTCCATTAATGAACTTTTTAATTTCACCAGTGAAAGGCGCAATGTCGAGACATTTCGGAATCAACGAAAGAATTTTCGTCAGCAATTGTTCCATTTCACTTGTTATCGATGCACCTTTATATGAATCAAACTCAGGAAGTGAATCAGGTCGATATAAATCAAAAAGTTGAATTGCACGTTCCCAAGTCAAATCAATTTGTTTGGCGTCGTGTTCTTCAATATGACGAAGTTTCGCTTTCTTCACTGGATAGCCGTAAAGACAATAAGTCGCTTGTTCAAGATGTTCAGTGACAATATCGCGAAAAGGCTCTAATAATGGTGTACGATAAATTGGCGTTAAAATATCGAGGAAACAGAAAAGAAGTTGTCCATTATCCTTCATGCACCACTGCTTTCGTCCTAAATATTCGTGCGCTTTGAAAAACATCAACATTGAGTTCGGTAATGGCGATTCAAACTCTTCTTCATTACCATCTTCAGTCTTTTTACGACTCGCTGCATTTGCAATGTCATTTTCCTTCACAACAAGATGATATAAAATCGTCCATGGAATGTTAAGATTGATCAGATGACAAGTTGGATTATTCTTCTCAATCGGTGAGTCAAGTTGATGTGTAATAATTTGAGTAATTGTTTGTACTAATCGTGACAAATTATTTCCTAAAGCAAAGAGAATTTCACTTCCATCTTCATCTTTTATTGCTGCATCAATATAGACAAGACAATAATTAACAAGCGATGCCCACTCTTCGAGACGATACTCAGTTGGAGCTGTTTGAAAATTGTCGAAAGCATATTTCAATCCTTTCTCAGCATAAATTAAACATTCTTCAATTCTGTTGAGACTCCAAAGACATTCAAGAAAGACTTCAATTTGTGTTTGAATCTTCAATGTTAAATTGTCGATGTTGACTTTCGGTTCTGTACTGTAAATGACACTTTCTCTTAAAATTTCTGTTAATTCAGCATAGTTTTTCGTGTCGTACAATTTCTTGACACTCGCCAAGTTAATTTTCCTTTCAATCTTCACAATTAACTCTTTCACTGTTTTACTATCAATTAAATTATTGTTTTTGCAATTCTTCAACTCAACTGATATTTCACTGTATTGTGGCACATCGTAAACTTCCTCAAGTTTGTAAAGATATCCAAGAGCGTCTTTGTAATTGTTGTTGTGAATCTGAATGCAATAACTCAACCAAACAAATCTCGTCATCATTGTGACACTTTTAATGTCATCTTCAACAAATCCAATGTTAAATTGTAAGAATTCCTTTTGTCTCACGTAATCATCAGGAATTTCAGCTTTCGTCTCTTCATATTCATCGAAAATCAACTCAAAGTAAAACGTTGCCATGCGAAATGTTGCTTTGAAATCATCTTGTGGTAAATGATACAAACTATGATAATCGATAAAGTTTTCATAAATCTTGTAGAGTTTCTTAAAAAGTGACAAGATTTCAGCCGGAATGATTGTCTCGTTCCAATATAAAGAAATAAAACGAAGCCATTGAAATATTGGAATCACCAAATCAAATTCACGATTCTTAATTTCTTCAATGAAATTGTTGAAAGCTTCTCGTGTCAGTTCATAAAACTTCTCCTCATCTTCAATATCAGCTTTTGTATGGCTCACTTTATGATCTTCAATTGGTTTGATGTCAATGTTTGCAATTGCAAATGGTGAACGATTCGATTCGAAAGATTCAACGAAATAACTCGCCAAGATTCGTTTCAGAAATCCATTAATTGTCGTGTCGACAGTTTCTTCATCTTCTTTTGGCTTTTTACGAGCTGATCTTCGATTTTTATGCCACCCCCACTCTTTAAGAAAGTCCAAATCACTGCATCGTCGTCTATTGACTGCCTTTCTCGATTCAGTTTCTTGATTTTCATTATCAGTTGACTCAACATCATCTTCCGTTATCTTTTCACTTCGTCCATTAACTGCAACAACATTTTCCTCAATTTTCTCACCATCTCCATTCAATTCGATTCCATTCACTACTTCATTGGTCTCTATTTGTGCATCCGGTGTAGGTGGCAATATAAATTCAGGAGCTTTTCCAACCCAATCGTCCCATTTGAAACATGATGTGAGACTAAAATTATTTTCTTCGATATGATGGAAAACTCGAAGAATTAATTTGCCAATTGTTATCCAGTTAAGATTATTTTCAGGTATTTTAAAATCATCGGTAAGAGTTGCGTTGTTTTCTTTAGTAAATCCAATTTCAACAGGAGGAGGAAAGACACTTGAAGCTGGATCGTATTTGATTTGACAATTCTCATCGAACTCAGGTTTGCGACCGTAAATACTGAAATAAATTCATGATTGATCAAAACAAAAGTTCATCAAACGTTTCACTGTATTAAAAATTTGTAAACTTACCCATCATAATATTCAAGACTTAATTTAAATCTCGATCTTATCTCCTTCAAAACTCTTATTGCTCTCTCGTATTTTCTATCATCTTCAAAAAATTTCAACGCATATCCGTAAGCTTGATCGATGTCCTCCATCAAACATAAAGTTTCGAGAAGTCCATCCTTTGCACCACAATGATGAGGATTTCGTTCCAAGCATTTCTCGAAAGCAAGTTTCGCCAACAGTAAATTGTTAAGTTTTAAAGAAATTCGACCGATTTTGCATTGTGTATAAACGTCAGTGTCGTCCAACTCAACAGCTTGAACAAGATGACGTAAAGCTTCGAGATATTCCTTACGTTCCTCATAAATCAAGCCTATATTACGAAAACAATTGTATTTAACTGAAAACAACTTATTTTCTTTGTCGTTGTCTGGAATCTGAGATGAAAACAATAAAAGTAAACAAAACTTCCCGAGAAATTTTTCACCACTCACATCGCACAACACTTGAGTTCTCAGCAAATCTTGAAACAAGTTCAATGCAAAGTCAGATTTCCCATTTTGTTTCAGAGACAGTGCTCTCATATACTCGCTCACAGCAATTGTTTCCTGGAAAATGTTTTCAAATTTTCTAATTTATGTTTTTGTGATGAAATTGAAAAATCTGTTTACCTGCGCTTCCTTTGTAACCTGAGTTATAGTTTCATCTTCCTCCTTAACTTCATCCTTTGAAAAATCGTTTAAAGCTACAATTTTTATCATATTGAATCTCTTTCATTTAAAAATAATAAAGAGATGAAGATAAATAAAAAAATTGCGGCATAACAAATACACTGTTAAAAATTTCAGGATCAAATCAGCTGAGCAATGCTGAGGTTCAATTTTGTAAGAATTGCGCAAAAAATTCAGAAGGCGTAATTTGTAGTTTGCCCCATAAGTTCAGCATAGCTCAATTTATTTTATTTGTCGAAGAATTTAAGTGAGATATCAAAAAGTTTCTTTAATAAAATAATTATTTCCTTTTATGTTTAAAACTTTTATTAGAATAAGATTTTGAAAGTTGAAAGAATAAAGTATAATTTAAAATCGTGAAGTTTACATGAAGCAAAAAACGGAATGAGCGAGTAGAAAAATTTGGACGAATATTTAACTCCCAAGGTATTCCTTTTCGTTTGTGATTAAATACAAATATTATTTAAACAGTGAAAAAGATGTACAAATCTTACTTGCTCCTATTTGAAATCATGCATAGAAAAGTTAATTTTGTGAAATCAATGATTTAAGCATAGATATGAAAAAACGAAATATTCAAGCTAGAGAAAAAGTCTGGGTTCGAAACCCGAACTTTTTAAATGAAGATACTAAGAAAATTTTAATTTGAAAGCCTAACCCTGTGAAATCCTTTTATTTCTGTTCGTATATTGTAAACAATTATCAAAATCTTAATATCGTAGACATGCATAATTATTTAAAAGTCAGCAAAAATATGGTCATAATTTATTCTTGAAAAATAAGAATGTAAATACGCTTTACTTAGCTACAAAGTAACCTCCACCAATTCCGATTGCATTGTCAATAGACAAGTACAGATAATAAGAACAAACACTCTCCCCATAAAATATCTATAATGACCATCATCATCAAACATGAAAGGACTTAAACTTTCTTTAGCAGAACTTTTTATAAAGGTTGGATTGTATTTAAATTGATTATCCCTTATTTCTATAATTTCAACTTATATGATTCGAAATATATCAAGTACCAGGGCTTGGAGATCTAATGGATTTTCGATTTTAAGCATCCGCTTCTCAAAAATCGACCGTGACGACGATTACGAATGAAAATTTCAACCAGATTACAAATACCTTCGAAGGTGTTAAAAATTGTTGCATTTCTGATTTTTAAAGAGTTGAAGTTTATTTTTGCTTTTTACCGATTTGAAAAACATTTACAAAAAGTGATATAAAATTTAAAAGAAAAAGTTGCTGAAAATGAAAAAAAAAAAATCAAAATGGCTTGAATAAAAATTCATTTTAAATTTATAATAACTTTCTTTATTTGAAGAGATTCCCAAAACGTTATGCATAGGTATAATATTTGAAAGCTTCACTATCCCTGAATGTTTTTAAAGACTTCAGCGCAATTGATAGTGAAACTTTATACATAAAGTGAAAGCTATTTAAAAAAAAGTATGTTCAGAAATTTTAATTTTGAAGAGGAAAGAGTTCGTTGTAATTTTTGGAAATGATAAGTTCCATGCCCCTTTGCTTTCAATCCCTGCTTGGACCTGAAGAACCCGTACAAGTTCAGACCAGAACACAGTCAATTCAAGTCGAATTTTTGGAATTTATAAAGAAATTTCAATTCTTGAAAGGTAAATTTTCAAACAAAAATTTAACTCCTTTTATGAACACGGCTGCATTTTATTGATAAATTCAAAACGCTTGCAATCAAAATAACGCCGAAATTATATAAGGAGAAATAAAAACGGACAAATCACTTCGGTGTGATTGCGGAAAATTAGCCAGAGGGAAAATATCTCTAAAAATAAATAAATTCAATAGGGAAAGAAATCTTGTACGTATACGTCGAGAACGATGGTTAGGGCAACGATTATTTTATATTTTTGAAGTTGGAAGGTTATGATTCCACGTTTTAAATTTTGTTTCGAAAATAACCTGAAGCGTTATTTGATACCAATTTGTGAAAGATTTTTATGAACTGCAAATCATTCAGTTGGTATATTTATTTGCTACCAAGCAACTACTTTTTCTATTAATTCATTATTATAGGAAAAATGCAAACTGAATGTTTTATCTCTTTGAAATTTTTTTTAAATATTTTGATTAAATTTAATCGACATGTACCTGTGAGAATCAGAAGGGGGCGGTACTAAATTACCAGTCGAGGTTCGCGCGTTTTCTAGTTTAGTATTTCTCAGGAAGTCAAAGCGTGCAGTCGTGATTTAGCTACCGGAACATTAAACAACTACCTATTTTGTCTATGAATAAGCCGATGCCTCAATAAAGTAATAAACTTGAAAAACGGATGAAATTTTACACACATTCGAATTTCTTTGAAAGATTGCCTCGATTAACTTATAATGTTGGACAAAGTTTTATTCTATTTTGACAAAATTTAGGTGAAATTAATTCAGCTAGATAAAAAAGAATTAAACGAAGAAATATTTTTCAGGTGTGAAATGGCTGATGATAACAATAACGGAAGCCCTACTGAGAACAACAGACGGACAAACAGCAATCTTCCAATTCTATTTGCAAATGGGTATCCGACATCGCTGGAGAAAATGACTGCTGAGCAATTGGAAAGATTTGTTCCTTTTCTGGTTAAAAGTTCAAAAAATGGAACCGAGGAAACAGAGTTGTCAGTTCCTCTTTGGTGGTCAGACACTGTTGATTTCAAAATGCCATTAGAGAAACCGAAGAATTTTAGAAAGGTGAGTTGTGATAAAAATTTTCAATAATAAATCGAAAATTAAAGAAAAATTTTCTTATTTTACAGAACTGGGCAGCAACTCTTCGGAAATTGATTGAAGATTGTTATACATTCTTTAATCAACCTTTCCTTCTAAAGTACTCTAATGAGCTTTGTGAATATGATCCTGCCAATCTTCGATATGTTCGAGCTAGTGATACGACAACTTCTCTGTACAGTCGAAAACCTAAGAAACTTCTCCTTACCTTCAGAAACGAGAACATGGTAAATAATTTATAACATTATTATTCTTTATGGGTTGAAAATGTACGCAGAACCAATTACAATCACTTACGCATTTCTCTCGTTATCCATGACTTCAATTGAAAATGGAAATCTTGCGTCATAAGTCCTAATTATCCTTAAATANCGCTCTTCCGATCTAGAAGGGGGCGGTACTAAATTACCAGTCGAGGTTCGCGCGTTTTCTAGTTTAGTATTTCTCAGGAAGTCAAAGCGTGCAGTCGTGATTTAGCTATCGGAACATTAAACAACTATTTTGTCTATGAATAAGCCGATGCCTCAATAAAGTAATAAACTTGAAAAACGGATGAAATTTTACACACATTCGAATTTCTTTGAAAGATTGCCTCGATTAACTTATAATGTTGGACAAAGTTTTATTCTATTTTGACAAAATTTAGGTGAAATTAATTCAGCTAGATAAAAAAGAATTAAACGAAGAAATATTTTTCAGGTGTGAAATGGCTGATGATAACAATAACGGAAGCCCTACTGAGAACAACAGACGGACAAACAGCAATCTTCCAATTCTATTTGCAAATGGGTATCCGACATCGCTGGAGAAAATGACTGCTGAGCAATTGGAAAGATTTGTTCCTTTTCTGGTTAAAAGTTCAAAAAATGGAACCGAGGAAACAGAGTTGTCAGTTCCTCTTTGGTGGTCAGACACTGTTGATTTCAAAATGCCATTAGAGAAACCGAAGAATTTTAGAAAGGTGAGTTGTGATAAAAATTTTC